GATGGATAAATAGATAGATAAATATGGATAGAATGTGACAGATAGATAGATATGAATAGAATGTGACAGATATTGGCAGATAGATAGATAGATAGATAGATAGATAGATAGATAGATAGATATGAATAGCACGTGAAGGATTCATATGAACCGAATGATAGATAAATAAATGGAGAAATATGAAGAGAATTCTCGATATAGACTGATAGATATGAATAGAATGTGACAGATAGATATGAAAAGAATTATAGAATAGATAGATAGATAGATAGATAGATAGAGACAACTGCGATAATTATAGATAGATAGATAAGAACAATAGATAGATAGATAGATAGATAGATAGGATAGATGATAGAGAGATAGATAGATAGATAGATAGATAGATAGATAGATAGATAGATAGAGACAACTGCGATAGATTAGAATCAACTGAGATAGATACATAGATAAGAACAATAGATAGATAGATAGATAGATAGATAGATATGGACAGATTTCTCAATATAGACAGATATATATGAATAGAACGCTATAGATAAATAGTTGAGTTGATAGATATAAACAGAATTCTCAATATTGACTGATAAATAGATAGATAGATAGGCTGACATAGTCATGAACAGAATTCGACAGATATGAACAAAATGATAGCTAGATAGATAGATAGATAGACACTAACAGAATTATATATATATACACACAAACACACACACACACACACACACACATATATATATATATATATATATATATATATATAGAGAGAGAGAGAGAGAGAGAGAGAAAGAGAGAGGGAAAGAGAGAGAGAGAGATTCCTGAACCTATTCCCAAGAATCTCTTTGCAAAATATTTTAAGTGGTTTTAATTCCTTCGCAATTTACTTTTGTCTATACAGACGCCTTCATAAATGCTTTTTAAATTTTATTATGCAATTCAATGTTTACATAAGAATAACTAACCGATGCTGACAACATTTTATTTACGCAATTCCGCATGAGTTTTTACTCTTTTTTTCACAGAGAGAGACATCATTGTATACTTAACGATATTTATTATAAATCTAAAATATTTCAATATTGCTATGGGTCATAAGAAATATATAACCTCTAAAGAGAAAAAAAAGATGTCAATTTATTTATAGGAAAGCAAAAAATAAAACCATTGTTTGATTAATTGACTGACTTTTTTCACGGTTTGTCAACCCTTTGCAGGTGATGTAAAGTCAAAAAATATTTTTACATTGCAAGAATGTTTTGGAGATAATATTCTTTTACTGATTCAAGATATACAAATTAAGCTATAGCTGGGGGAAATCGAAGTCGTTCATTTTCAAATGAGAAAAAATGGTCAAGACTTTTAAGTCTAACGAGATAAGGCATATTTTTAATATCAGGAATCATTTTAGTAAAAGCCTTTTTCTGCTTTTTAACACTGTCAAACAGAGGAAGTGTAGACTAACCTAGAACAGTGTAGTGATGAATAAAACTCTAAAAAGATTTCTTTACGCTGTATTGGAAAAGGGCTTTTGTATTTTTCTTCAAATTCTTGCCTTCAACATGTCCTACGTGTGTCAAATTCTCTAAACCGTCTTTCCTCGTTATGTACCCTAGAAATTTCAGCTATCTCTTTTTGGTGCTAAGCATAAGTTTCTTCTTTGTTTCCATTTTCCTGAAAACTTCGTCGTTGCTTACATGTTCAGTCGATGGTATTCTCAGCATCCTTCTGTAGAACCACATTTTTTGTTGCTTCAATTCACTTCTTCATATGTCTAGCATTCACTGTCATATAGAAAGGAATGACATTATGTAACAGTTCAGTACTATTTTCTTTGTTTCTAATAATATTTTCCTGTTTCTTGATACCTTGATTAGCTTTCAAAAGGTATCTTTCGTTGTCCCAATATCGCTTTCAGATTTCACACTTTCTGTCCTGTGTTAAAACAATTTCCAGTTATTGATGTTTGTTATGGTCCGGTTCCTTGTACCACGGTGATGGTCTAAGGTAGAACCAATAAAGAAGAACTCGAACACGGATATGGAATAACACAGATATATTACAAATAGGAATATAGACAGAGAAGTAGAAAGTGTTAGTACGAACAATCAGGTTTAGTAGTAATTGTCTGAACGTGACTCTGTTTCGGACTGCCTCTGTCTCGACTGACTGACTCGCTCGCTCTGACAGACTGACTCCTGACGGACTTCACTCCAGACTTCAGACTGAACGGTATTTAGTCACTATTCCCCCACGAGAGCATCATGTGGCACAAGGCCGGTTTAACGTGGGATCTCCGTGCCCGTGGGCTCGGCCAAAAATATGCCCTTTGAACCCGTATAAAAACGGGTTCTGGGTCGGTTTACCTCCCCGAAAGCGACTCCGCCTTTCGGCGTAGCTTCGTTCGGGTTCCTCCCCGCCCGAAGGCAGAGAGTTCAACCGATCAACCGATCAGCCGGTTGCCCGACTTCGGACTGAACGGTATTTAGTACCCCCTCCCCGACGAGGGCATCATGTGGCAAAAGGCCTTTTTAACGTGGGATCTCCGAGCCCTTAGGCTCGGCCAAAAATATGCCCATTGAACGCGTATAAACGGGTTCTGGGTCGGTTTACTTCCCCGAAAGATAATCCGCCCTTCGGCGTAACCTACTTCGGGTTCCTCTCCGCCCGAAGGCAGAGAGTTCAACCGATCAGCCGGTCAGCCGGACGTCCGACTTCCGACTGAACGATATTCAGTGACCCTCCCACGATGGCGTCATGTGGCACAAGGCCTTTTTAACGTGGGCTCTCCGAGCCCGTGGGCACGGCCCAAAATATGCCTATTTAACCCGTATAAACGGGTTCAGGGTCGGTTTACCTCCCCGAAAGAGAATCCGCCCTTCGGCGTAGCCTCCTTCGGGTTCCTCCCCGCCCGAAGGCAGAGAGTTCAACCGATCAACCGGACGTCCGACTTCGTACTGAACTTCCTGCTTCCTCTTGAGGCGCAGTATTTATTACGTATGGAATAGTCCATTATGTTATTATGGGTAAGGTCCCATAACAATGTTATATAAAACGCTTTATTTTGAATATAACTGCAAGGATTTTGTGTCTTTAAATCGGATGCCGTATTTACTGCTCGGTCTTTTTCTTGGATTGATTTGTTTTCTACGACTTATGAACCTATTGATTTTATTTAGATAATAATAGTTTAGTGCTATAAGTTTTACTAATTAACCCATAACTAAGGGGGGAAGAGGTGGATACTCTCCGATTAACAATTCCAAGCCTTTATCCATTAAACCACCTGCACTTCCAAGTTTACGGCACCTGGTATTCCCGAGCGGTCACCCATTTAGGTACTGACCCGGTCCAACGTTGCTTGACTTCGGTGATCATACGGGAACCGATATTTCTTTGATAGTGTTATGCACGACGTCCACCAAAAGCGGGATGAAGTTTCGAATTTAACCATTTAAAAAGGTGAACACTCAGGCTATTGTACTGACCTGGAATATGACGCATCCAGATGTTTCCGTAGAGTGTGAAGAGTTTGATGCTTAGAAACTAGCATGAAGTACACCATCGGGATATTTTCTCGTTGCGGCAATTACCCACGTAATCATGCACATCATCAACAAAAACAGAAAAAAAAACGGGGAGGCCCAATGGTATTACTAGATGGAATGCCACTAGTTGCAGATCTCTATAATGGGAGACCAAACCCCTTATTGTAACAGATTAGTAAAACAATTTAAATAATGTTGAAGATAAAGTGTAAATAAGGCTAAATTGGGAGCATTAGAAGGCTTAACAAACACATTAAGCGAAAAAAAAATGATTACAATTATAGAATGCGAAAGAGATCACATTAACATACAAAATAAAAAAAATATAACTCATTTAGGACACATCTGTTATCTAAATCTTTTGGATATATTTATGAATAAAAATTCGTGTTTTACTGAGTTTACATAAGAACTTATATTCGTTTCAAAAGCAGGCATATATGTTAAGTTTAAAATCACACGATATGGTGTTAATATGAATATAAGAATTTCATGATCTTTTTCTATGTGCTGTGTCTCTTCGAGACGTTGGAGATCATGGCTCTCCACAATTTCATGCCCTTTCATGATAGCAGATTAAATGAGAAAATAGAGAGAAGTCTTAAAGTAGCAATTGTAGAGCATGATGATAGGTAGAAGAAGTAAAATAAGTTGTACACGGATATGAAAAATAACCTACATCCAAACATGCTGAATAGATAGATAGATAGATAGATAGATAGATAGATAGATAGATAGATAGAAATGAACTGAGAGAGATTAATACAAACAGACTTAAATAGACAAATAGCTAGCTAGGTAAAATAAGTTATACACGGAAATGACAAATAATAACCTACATACAAACATGTTGAATAGATAGATAGATAGATAGATAGATATGAACTGAGAGAGATTAATATAAACAGACTGAAATAGGCAAATAGCTAGCTAGTTTGCTAGATAGATAGATATGAAAGAATTGAGATAGATCAGTAAACAGATAAATATTAACATACTGAGATAGATAGATAGATAGATACATACATACATACATACATATGGTGGCTCTCGATTCGCAAAGCGAGTATGACCATCACTGACATGTCCAACCCTTCACTTAAACTCCCCCATCACAACACTGCCTTCATCGATTGTGTGAATGACAGTGTCTCTTAAAGCCAGCCATCGATCTGCATTTCATGCCACATATGCTGCATATCAAATCATCTACTGGTGGTGGAAGGAGACTTTGATCATCACCACTTCCAATGTGCCATTTCATATGCACCTGTACTTTCACATTCTAGTACACATCGGGCATTCAACGCATGTCATTACGAAATCGTCATATACAACAGACTGTAGGTTTTGGTGTAACCGCTGGTGACTGAGCAGACCCGCCCTGGACAGATATTGATTGTATTGGACACATGACCAGGTTGGCACCTCATGGCAATTCAGGGATCCCTTCCGAGCCCCTCTCTTCAGTTCTGCATATTTTTTGATGCCTCATGGAAGATCTTGACGCCGTCAACAGTGCCAGCTCTCAAAGAAACCTGGTCTTCAGCAAGAGTCTCTTACTTATCTAGACCAATATTGCACTTGTATAAGGACACTTTAAAGCATTCTTTGTAACTTGTGCTGCGATTATGGGTATGTCTGTGGGTATATTCATTTTTAGCTAGTTCCGGACATCCTGAGATAATATAGTCGACAGTTTCATCATACCTTCCGCAGATCCATCGCTAGTTCCCTCGTTGATTATGTGACAGTGATAGGATCTGGCTGCGAGGCTTTGGTCCTGAACAGCAATAATTAGGCCTTCTATTTCAGCTTTCAACCCAGTGCTCCTCAGCCACTGATGCGTTTTTTGTTGGCCGACGTCTGCTTCTTTCGTTCTTTTTAGATATTTGCCGTGCAACGCCTTGTCCTTCCAGGTTTTTTTGAATTTCATTTGGCCAAGTTGTTTTGCTTTCTGTTTTGCTCGTTTGGCGTAGATGGTATTCGTTTCGTTTATTGTTGGTAGGGTTTTTCAGTTATATTAAGCTGGAGAGTGCAGCTCCTTTGTTGATGGGGTGGATTTAGTGTTTTACCTTTTGTAGGAGAGGGTTATTGTTTTTGTGAGGTATGCTTCCAATCCGATTTTTGGAGTTTTTAGAGTTAATTCAAGTTGGATTAGACCTCGGCCTCCTAAAGCTCTTGGTGCGTACAGCCTATCAACATCTGATTTCGGGTGATGCATCCTCATTTGGGTAAGCATTTTTCTGATCTTGGTATCCAGTCTTTTAATGTCATTCAACTTCCATTTAATAAGGTTTAAGCTTTATGTTACTACTGGTATAATTAAGGCGTTGATAGCCTTCATTTTATTGGTCCCATTAAGTTCGCTTTCTAGTATCAAACGCACTCTCCTACAATATTCTTCTCGGATAGTCTTCATAGTTGAATGCGGCCTGTAATCGTGAGAACAAGTTTTTGTATTTCTTTAAGGCATGAGCTTCCAGGAATCCCTTCAATGAGTCTACCAACCAATCCGAGATCTCCAACTACAACAGGGATAGTTGATGTTCCCATGTGCCACATTTGTGAGATTTCTATTTCAAGGTCCTTGTATTTTGACAGCTTTATGAAGATCTTCAAAGATACATTGCAGTCTGCAGGGACTGCCACATCAATAAGGAGGCACTTTTTGTGAGAGATCTCTGATAACAATGTCTGGGTGGTTAGATTTGTGTCTGTGTGTGAATACGTGTAATTTTCACGGGTCTTTCTAATTATTATTATTATTATTATTTCTTTTGATTTCTGGTGTGTACACATTTCTTTCCGGGTTCCGCCCACAGACCTAAGATCAGAAATGGCATCTACTGCCCAAGAAAAAAAAACCCAAAACAAACAGATTTTACATAGATAAAGCCCTTCGTAATTTTTTGTATTTTTTAAGGCATGAACTTCCAGGAATCCTATCAATGAGTCTATTGGAATCTTTTCCAAACAATCCGAGGGCTCCAACTACAACAGGGATTGTTGATGTTCCCATGTGCCACATTTTTAAGATTTCGATTTCAAATTATTAGTAATTATTATTATTCGATTTTGACATTATTATTATTATTATTATTATTATTATTAACAATAGTGCAAAATAGTAAGTTTTCTTTTCGATGTTGTAATGACGAATACAAATATTGAGATAATGAATATTTTGATGTTATTTTAAACAGGAATTCAAAGCCCCTGAAGCTCTTTTCAGAAATCCAAAATAATATTTGAATACACTGCCCCAAACTAGGTTAATCATTTTAAGAGTAATGACTTGACCCTTGAAATAAAGTGGATGAATATCAGTTGTGGATTATGATGCATTAAAACTTTAGTCGAGGAGAAGCTGAGCACTAGCACTTGAAAATTCTTTAGAAGAGCCAGAAGCAAAAAAAAAAAAAAAAAAAAAAAAAAAAAAAAAAAACAATGCGTGTATGACTGTAGAATAAATATATGTAAAATTCATAATGTTAGTATTAAAAAAATTGAAATTTACAAAACAACATTTAGACACGGTGGAATAATGGATAGCGGCTCGGATTGAGAAATCTCTCCGATTCCAGTCGAAACCATTACATTCACTTATAATAGCCCTGGGAAAAGTATGAATTCTCTTATCCCCCCCATCTATGGGTAAATAGCAGGACACACCGGATTCTATGGAAACGGGTCTATTGCGGGGAAAAATCTGCCCCGTCAGTCAGGTATCGAAAGATATATGATCACCTAAAGGTGAATCACGCATGGCACGTAACTGATAACAATTTGTGTCCCTAACCGTTACAGAATCAGATGTTAAAAATGGCGATAAGAATAACCGAGAGCGCGAGACCATTTTTTTCTTTTAATATTGCTTTCAAATAATATTTATCCCAGGTTATGACGATAAATTACATCCGGCAGCAAGGCCTCTGATCGGAAGATAGGAGGTTTTGAGGAGCATGGAACCACCTGTTAATTGCAGTTTTCCCCGGGTCGTCCCGAATCCAGGGTAGTAGCACCTGTTAAGGGCCCGGCTATGTGCAAATAGTTAACCCTCAATCTGGGTCCAAAACATTATGAAAGTCTGAAAATACGTTCTTGTAGTAAAAATACAAGCAATACATTTTTATATAAAATTTTTTAGTTAAATACCTGTTTATAGTAAAATGAGCAGCAAGACGTATTTATAGTAGGATTACCAACAATAGCAAAATATTTTATATCAAAATTATCAACAATATGTTTCATCCCTAGTTGAAGGCATACAATTGCATTTAAGATACATTTAGTTAAGTCATAGATTTTGTTCAAAATATTTAGATTTCGGCATTAAATAACCCATAGAGTTTGATATCCCGGTAAACAAAATCAACTTAAAGGATAAAAACAATTGTAAAAAATTACCCTGTCTATAAGCAAACGTATATTAAATAAATAAACACACACACACACACACACACACACACACACACACACACACATATATATATATATATATATATATATATATATATATATATATAGTATAACCCGGATATAAGAGAAACCAGAATATAAGAGAGATTTTCTCTGGTACCAAATTAGAGCCTGTGTTAATCTAAACAAAATAGACCAAACCCGGATATAAGAGAAACCCGGATATAAGAGACTTCTTCTCCGGTCCCGACAACTCTCTTATATCCGGGTTACACTATATATATATATATATATATATATATATATATATATATATATATACTGTCATCCACAGATAGACTGTTTCGCAGCTCATCAGTGTGGTTAGATATCCGATTGCCTCAAGCCAGGATCGAAACCCGACTGATCTGATATCGGAGATTTTATCCCTAAG